AATCAAATATCTTTTAGAAAACACTTGGGGAAAGGCAGGCAGGGGCTGAGTGGGGGAGAAGTGGAGCGGACTTGAGAGGCTGGTCACATGAGGGACGTGAGGTGAGGAGGAGGTGAAGTTGGCAGGGACGGGCTGTCTAGAGAGAATCGCTGAAATCCCACAGCTGCACTGAGGACTTGGGGAGCCCCCTAGGAAATGCAGTTAGTGGTTTTCCAGGGCTTTTCCAGATTAGGGGCTGAGTCAGTTCACACCCTAGCCAGGCTGCAAAGGGTGACTACCGGGGGAGCTGCCCATCCTGATTCTAGAACCCACAGTGGGGACCAGCCCAAGACAAGGCCACCTTTTAAGATTCCCACCAACAAATCCAGGAAGCAAATCAGGGTGGCCAGACACCAGTCTGCCTCCCCCGACACAAGGGGCACACTGATGAAAAGCTGACTGCAAATGACGGTGTCTTTGAATCAAACACTAGAATTTTTTTTTTTTTTTGAGACAGAGTCGTGTACTGTCACCCAGTCTGGAGTGTAGTGATGCAGTCTCAGCTCACTGCAACCTCTGCCTCCTGGGTTCAAGCAATGCTCCTGCCTCAGTTTCCAGAGTAGCTGGGATTACATGCGTGTGCCACCACGCCCAGCTAATTCTTGTATTTTTAGTAGAGAGGGCATTTCACCATGTTGGCCAGGCTGGTCTTGAACCCCTGACCTCAGGTGATCTGCCCACCTTGGCCTCCCCAAGTGCTGTGAGCCACCACACCCAGCTTGAATCAAACACTGGAGTATTTTAACACATCAAGGGAGCTGACATTGCAAAGCAATCCCACAGTGGATTCTGCCAAGAGGAGCTGTCCCATCTGTCCCAGGTCCCCACTTTGACCAGTGCCGGAGAGCAGGTATGAAGATCCCTGTTTTACAGTGAAGAAATGGAAGCATGTGGGTGTGAGTAATAATATTAAACGGCAGCCGGGGGTGGTGGCTCATGCTTGTAATCCCAGCACTTCGGGAGGCTGAGGTGGGCAGATCATGAGGTCCAGAGACCGAGACCATCCTAGCCAACATGGTGAAATCCCATCTCTACTAAAAATACAAAAATTAGCTGGGCATGGCAGTGCGCACTTGTAGTCCCAGCTACTCAGGAGACTGAGGCAGGAGAATTGCTTGAACCCAGGAGGTGGAGGGTGTGGTGAGCCTAGATGGCGCCACTGCACTCCAGCCTGGCGACAGAGCGAGACTCCGTCTCAAAAGAGAAAAAAAAAATTACATGGGCAGAAATACCTAATAACCAGGGGCAGAACACAGGCCACCAACTCCTAACCCAGATTTTGTATTCAATTTTTAAAAGAGAAAAATTACTTTTTCTCTGAAAATACAGATTTTTATGTACTAGATTTGCTTAAAGCAAGATAGGCCTTTGGACATCTCCTGCTTTCCACGGTCTGCTCTGCATGTTCCAGGGAGAAAGTCACAGGGAGGTGGCCATAGGATCTGTCCCAACCATGTGAGGAATCTGAAAAGCTTAGATCCCTGAGCTGAGCACAGTCTTAAGAGAGAGGGAGAGCCAGAGAAAGCCCAAGTCTGATCTCTTCTGTGGCTGTTGCTGGGCCCCCAAATTGGGAAACGATCTCTGATTATTTTACCTAAGAAAGGAAAAATCATAAAACACAAGAAGAGTGTGGCTGGATGCGGGGGAGGGTGGTGTTCAGACGTGCAGGTGAGGGGAGCAGAGAGGGCGGAGGCACCCACATCTCTCCCTCTGCAGCCCTCCCCAAGCCCCTGGCCCCCCAAACCCCCCCAGCAACAGAGGCCCACTGTGGGACCCTAACGTGGAGGAGCAACCCTGGGGAAGGTGAAGTCCGCCTTTCAGAGTCCCGTCAGAGTCTGAGGTGGGCAATGAGCCCATGCTGGTCTCGGGGGGCCTGGGCCTTGCCTGCAGAGCCAGGAGGGACCCCCAAACAAAAGCCAAGCCAGGCAGCTGCCAAGAGCCCCTACCTGGCAGGGGCCCAGGCTGTTGAAGGAGGCATGCTCCTCCTAAGGGGGTCGGTCTCTACGGAGCTTCAGATCCCAGGATCTCTCCAAGGCCCTGCAGGGGACAGAAACTAAACGTGGCTCTCTGCTTTGTCCACGCTCGGGAGCTTTTATGTCATCTCCCCGCTCTTGGATCTGGACCTGCCAGCACTGGGGGGGAGTAGGGGAGGGAGTGTTCCAGTGGCTGTCCCTTCGTTCTTCAGGCAGAGCTCCTTAAAGGGCCTTTTCGGGCTCAGCATGTCTGCCTGGGAGGCCCCAGCTGCCACCCTGGGTAAAGGACATCAACCAAAGGGCTATATTTGCAGCGGGGCAGGGGTGTCAACACTGAGGCGTCCCCTGCACGTCCTGCCCACTTGAGGCAGCAGGGGTCTCATGCCTCTGTCCTCCCAGCACCCCCAATACCATCATCCTGGGACACACAGTGTCCACCTCGTTTCTCTGACGAGTGCCAGTCTGGATGTCTGAGTGGCCACCGGGCAATTGTGGGCCTCACCATCTCCCTTCCTGCCATCAGTGCACCCCTCACCATCTCCTGCTTCCTGGGAAGCCACTAGAAAGTGCCCTTCTCTCTTCCCAGCCCTGCATAGCCACCAAAGAGACTCTGTTCCGTGTTACGAGATGGTCCAGGAATTGAGTGGGGGTCCCCTCTGGCCCTCCCCCATCCCTGCCCTGTGCCATGGGGAGCAGACATTGAACAGGGCAAGGAAAGTTCCAGCCTCTGGGCCCAGCTCCCCTCAAATGAATGTGTGACTGAGAGTGGGAGTCATCTCACCCCAGCTCCTGCAGGGCTCCATTTTGTCACCTGTAAAATTCAGGGCTATATTGAAAACAGTGAGGCTTCTGGCTGCTCTAAGTACCTGGGATGCTGTCAAGTAGGAAGGGAGGCTGCACGCTGCAACCAAGTGGCCCCTGGCCCTCTGCTTGACCTGCTGTTCTCACATCCAGCTTCGTCTCTGGATGTGAGAACAACAGGTCAAGCAGCTCCGTCTCTAGGGCTTAAGAGGAATAAATGAGTCTCCAAGGCTTAGAAACCCTCAGATTCCCAGCACCACACAGAGAGGAAAGTCGAGAGACCAGCACTCAGGCATGCTTCTCTGGGCCTTTGTGCCTCAATTTTCCCATCTGTGAACACCAGGAGGCTCTGAAGGAGCAGAAAGAGCCTGGCATAGGAGTCAGGGGACCCAGTTCAGCCACCAGTTTGGATCATCCTATCCAGGAGCAAGACCAAAATTATATAGAGTCAAAAATGAACTAACAGACAGGCTTTCCACAGGATGTGGCCCATTTTTAATCTGGAAAGGAGACTGTTTTTTCGGTTGAGCCGCTAACGAAGCAGCTGGCCTGTCTAAGAGCTGAGTGGTCCGCTCCATCACAAAGGGGTTAAATGAAGCCCTGAATGAGGAGCATTTTAAAAGCCAGTGTGCCATGTCGACACAAAGGCCGCCGAGGGTCTGCTTCAAGAGCTTCTGTTTTATGGATATAGGTGCTGGGCTGAGCTGAGGTGAAGTGGGGGACCTGGAAATGGTAAACGGAAGTGGAAGGTCCAATTTCTATAGCACATGACGGTCCAAGTTGTTCTGACAAAGCATCTTAGGTCTGGGCCCTCATCTTCGGAGGGCCCTGGGAGAGGGGATAGGAGGAGTGCCCTGGGGCTCTCAAGGCTGAGCTGGGCTTCCAGATGCCCACTCCCAGCCTTCCCCCTCCAGGGTCTGCATTCCAGACCTGTCCTTTGGTTCTCTCTGTAGCCCCTTCTGATCACCCCCACACACCTCTTTTCCTGTTTCCTCTCTCTTCTAGAAGGATTCCAGGCCCAGAGCTTAAAAGTTGATCTCTAAGAGTTGTCACTGGCTCCCCTTGGAAGCTGGAGAAGCAGGGAAACCACATACACTCACGACCCATCCCCAGAATGGTACTGAACGAGGTTCCTCAAACTAAAAACATCGTCCAGGCACAGTGGTTCATGCCTGTAATCCCAGCACTTTAGGAGGCTGAGGTGGGAGGACTGCCTGAGCCCAGGAGTTGGAGACCAACCTGAGCAACATGACAAGACCTTGCCTCTACTGATAATATTTTAATATTAAAAAAAGGAGCAAATCAATAGAGAAAGCGAGGAAGAGGAGATCTGGAGCAGTTGTCCCAATGAGAGCTACGTGTCATTTCAAATTTTCTAGTAGCCACATTGAAGAATAAATAAAAAGAAGCATGTGATGCTAATTTCACAATGTTTTATTTAACATGTCCAGAAGATTAGCCTTTCTGCATGCAATCACGTTTTTAAAATTATCACCACCAGACTTTACACTGCTTTTTACGGTCCTATTAAGTCCTCTAAAGCGGGTATGTGTTGTACACTGAGCACACCTCTGTTTGGACCAGCGCTCGGAAGCCACGTGTAGTTTGTGGTTGCCATATTAGACAGCACAGCTCTAGAGACAGAGGACACAGGGAGAGAAAGGAGAGGGAAGGGAGAGCATGGGAAGAGAGGGAACAAGGAAGCGACCAGCATTTCCAAGGCAAGAGCCATGTCCTGTCCACCCACCAGAAAACAAATGCCATTCTTCACAGCTGAAGGGAACATTATTTATCATTCCTGGCCTTAATGTGTCTGTCCTTTCCACCCCCGAGCCCTCGAGGGTGCTGGGGGATATAACAGCCTCTTAAGCCTACCCCTCCTAGGGTGGAGGTGGGGTTTGCCCCTAAAGGAGGGCCTTCCCAGAGTGCCAGGCCAGCTGTCTGGGGCCCAGCTGGGGTCAGGGGTTCTGAAAGATCCTTAATGGAGAAATTCCGATTCCCACTTCCTTAAAGGAGGAGAGCCACGCAGGCGCCGTGGCAGGCTGGCAGGGTGTGGGAGGAGATGGGCGCCCAGACTGGGTCTCACCCTGGGACACAGAGCCGTGGCTTGTGGGTGTCTCACAGGGAATGAAAACTCCCCAGGAAGCAGAGCCTCACGGCAAACCCCAACTCAGTGGGGCCTCTTACCTTCCTTCAGCATCCCCACTTTGAGGCATTTCATGAAGCGGCAGGCCTGGCAGGACTTGCGCCTCCGTTTGGTGATCTCGCACTCATTGGTGGCCGGGCAGCTGTACTCGATGTTCCCTGCAATCAGACACAGAGAGGGTTGCCGGGTGCTGGCCGCCCAGGGCCCCCACCTGCCAGCGCAGGGATGGATGGACGGGGATTTTAATTCGCCAGAGCTGCCACTACCCCCACCCCGAGGTTCCCACAGGGAAGCGTTCTCAAAGCAGGTGCTCTGAGGTGCTTGTCAGAACGTTTCAAACTCTCTTCCATATGGAGACTCCAGGTCGCAGGTCTGGGTGGACCAGGCAGCCACTTGGGGAAACTCTCCAGAGGATGGCCACCCACAGTCTTGAAGCCACCTGTGGGTGGGGACATCGAAACTCACTGAGCCAGCCTTTTACTCCAGGAGCAGAACATCCCCTGTGCTGACCAGAACATCAGCACAGACCACCACCACCAGCTCCTCCAGCCTCCAGCCTGGGACCCTGATGTGCGGGAAGAGCCTCTTGGAAACTCTGTGTCCACCAGGATCAAGGCCTGGGTTCTGCATCCCACTGGAGGGGCCCAGGCCACCTGGCTTTGCTGACCTTGAGGATATGCTTCCTCTCACCAAGTTGAGATTTCCTCATCTTCAAAACAGTGAGATAATCTACCAAATGAAGGATTAAACAAGACCGCATACGGACAACTGCTTTAAACACTGTTCAATTCAAGGGGGTCATTTTATAAGCACAGTTTGTTCAGCAGAGGGAATCTGTGATAAATTTTTCAGGCCACTCCTTTCATGGGTTATAAGAACAGCTACCAGGCTGGGCGCGGTGGCTCATGCCTGTAATCCCAGCACTTTGGGAAGCTAAGGTGGGTGGATCACGTGAGGTGAGAGTTCGAGACCAGCCTGACCAATATGGTGAAATGCTGTCTCTACTAAAAATACAAAAAAATTAGCCAGGTGTGGTGGTGTGTGCCTGTAATCACAGCTACTCGGGAGGCTGAGACAAGAGAATTGCTTGAACCCGGGAGGCGGAGGTTGCAGTGAGCTGAGATCACACCACTGCACTCCAACCCAGGCGACAGACCAAGACTCTGTCTCAAACATAACAAAACAAAACAAAGAATGGCTACCATAAACCCAATCCATGCTCCTTTAAGCTGTAGGCCCCATGAAGCCAAGACCTTGGGTGCTCCCCAGTGTACAGCAGCACTGAGCACAGCCCCCGCCATATAGAGACGGGCAGGTAGAATGCAGCAAATGAAGGATCTACGGAGTCCTTCCCAATAGCTATTCCATGAAAGAGAAAGTAAGTACTAACACTATTCCCATTTCACAGGTGAGTTTTCCAAATGTTTCTATGCCATGTGAACACAGAGGTCTTCTTTAGGTTGAACTGACCTTCCAGTGCTCTTCCTGGGAGGGCTGACAGTCCAGTCAGGAGAGGCTGCGGCTGCCTTTCTAATACAGGCATCTGCCCTGGGCATGCTGACCTGCTGGGCTCTTATTAACGAATATGCATTGAGCACTACAATGTGCCTGGTAATGGAAGGAAAGGCAATGGGGGGAGAGCGGGGGGCGGGGGCATAAAGAAATGCAACTGGAGTGGCCAGGCGCAGTGGCTCATGCCTGTAATCCAGCACTTTGGGAGGCTGAGGTAGGTGGAGCACCTGAGGCCCAGAGTTCGAGACCAGCTCGGCCAACATGGTGAAACCCCGTCTCTACTAAAAATACAAAAAAACAAGTAGCTGGGCATAGGGGTGGGCACCTGTAATCCCAGCTACTCGGGAGGCTGAGGCAGGAGAATCACTTGAACCCAGGAGGTGGAGGTTGCAGTGAGCCAAGATCATGCCATTGAACTCCAGCCTGGGTGACAAGAGCAAAACTCCGTCTCAAAAAAAAAAAAAAAAAAAAAAAAAATGCAACTGGAAGGTACAAATGAAAAACAGCACATCACAGTGCTGTTTTGTTATGGTGTCTCTTTGGCTCCCAAAGTCCCAAAGTCACTGAGGTCAGCCTGAGCCAGGGTTTTTCAGAACAGAATCTCTCAACTAGAACACATCTGTCGTTCCAGCCCCACCCAGACATCCACTTCCCGAGGGAGCAGGGAGGAGCTGGAGGCTCGCCTATCTGAATCCCCCACACTAAACCCCACCCACTTCAGAGGAATAGCAGCTAAGATTTACTGTGCACCTATTGTGTGCACAATCTGCACCAGCTCCCTCAGTCCTCACAACAGCCACTGAAGGTACATCAGTGTCCGATTTCACAGACCAAGAAACTGAGGCTCTGGGAGCTGAAGCGGGTTACCCAAGGCCACACAGAGCTCCTGTCCCACCCTGCATCTCACAAGGAGGATGGGGAAATTGGAAGCGCTGCCCCCTAAGGACAGGCACCTGGTGCTGATGCGGCAGCTGAGGTCGCCTGGTGGGCAGCAGGGGAGAAGGGTGGCCTTGGGCTTCCCTGTGTCACTACCTCCCCACATGGGATATAGATGGAAACCTTTTCTATTGGATTTTCTGGGAACAAGCATGAACCATGTTCTACCATTAAAAAGTGCTTTGAGGTAGCAAAATTACTCAATGTGCCTAACTGTACTGAGTACTCACGATGGCTCAGTGCGTATTCTCATCCTTTCTTACTGGTGAGGAAAACTATTTCCGGAGCACCTCGGAGATCTACAGGTGAAGGCTAGCGATCCTCCGTCCCTCTCTCCCTCTCTCCTTCTCCCTCTCTCTCCCTCTCTCCCTCTGTCTCCCTCTCTCTCCCTGTCTCCCCCCCTCTACCTCTCTCCCTTTCTCCCTCTCCCTCTCTCTCCCTCTCTCTCTCCCCTCTCTCCTTCTCCCTCTCTCTCCCTCTCTCCCTCTGTCTCCCTCTCTCTCCCTGTCTCCCCCCCTCTACCTCTCTCCCTTTCTCCCTCTCCCTCTCTCTCCCTCTCTCCCTCTGTCTCCCTCTCTCTCCCTGTCTCCCCCTCTCTCCCTCTCTCTCTCCCTCTCTGTCCCTCTCTCTCCCTCCCTGTCTCCCCCTCTCTCCCTCTCTCTCTCCCTCTCTGTCCCTCTCTCTCCCTCCCTCTCTCCCTCTCTGTCCCTCTCTCCATCTCTCTCCCTGTCTCTCCCTCTCTCCCTCTCTCAAGTCCAGCAGGCATCACCTTTTTCCTCATCCCATTTCTTGCAGGGAGGGAGCTGGAGGTCATGCTCCATGCTGGAGGATGGGAGGTGATGGGAAGGGGAAGGGATGAAGATTCTCTGTACCCCCTCTTCGCTTTTATCTAGCCCTAACTATTTCTTAGAGCGTTCTGGCTTGGGTGGCTTCTTGGGGAATAATTTCAATATTCATATAAGCCCGGTAAAATTTGAAAGACAAACAGAAAGGAAGGAAACACATATAAAAGCTAATTCAGCCAAGCCTTTATCTTGGCTTTGAAGGCACTGGAAGGTTTGGCCCGTCCCCACCCAGGTCCACCCTCTCTCTGCAGCCTCAACATGCTGATTTCCTCCACTCCCTCTGCATAACTATCACTTCCTGGAACTCCATGGTCTCCTAGGCTGCCAGGCCTTTGCTTTGCAGCTTAGAACAGACTCTCTATGCTTCCTCCACCCTCTGTTCCCCCAGTAGGCACTCCTTCTCCGTGCTGATAACCCATTAATGTCCCCTGTGTTGTATCTCTCTCCCTCCTCCACGTACTCCAGCTCCTCTCTAGTCTCACTGCCTGGGACACCAAGCCACTCAATGCGCACACACGGGGAGCTCACACTGGCCAATGCTTGTTAGGGAGTAGCCACAGCTCTGCTCTACAGATCCTGAGGCTTTCATGTTCCCAGTAACCCTGGAGGTAAATAGATTTTTCTCTATCTTACACATAAGAAGGTGAGTAGAGGGGCCAGGCGCGGTGGCTCACATCTGTAATCCCAGCACTTTGGGAGGCCCAGGCAGTCAGATCATCTGAGGCCAGGAGTTCGAGACCAGTCTGGCCAACCTGGTGAAACCCCGTCTCTACTAAAAACACAAAACTTAGCCAGGTGTGGTGGTGCACACCTGTAGTCCCAGCTACTTGAGAGGCTGAGGAAGAAGGGTTTCTTGAACCCAGGAACCCGAGATTGCAGTGAGTCAAGATTGTGCCACTGCACTCCAGCGACAGAGCGAGACTCTCAAAAAATCAAAACAAACAAACAAACAAACAAAAAACAAAAAAAAAAAAAAGAAGAGAAGGTGAACAGAATCCAGGGTATGGGACAGCAAGGACTGGGACCTAGCCTGTCAGGTCCAGCCTGCTCTGAGCCACTGTGCAAAGAGCTCACAGGGCCTGCCATGGGCTTCACAGCTCCAGCTGCCTGGGACCCCTACACTCTTTGCATGTTCTTCACTTTTCCCATGCTTTGCTCTCAGCTGCTCAGCCAATCTGTCACCTTTTGAGGAAGGATAGGCCACAGGCTGCTGCTCAGAGCAGGGGCGTCAGGAAGTGTGTGTGTGGAGCTGGTACTGGTGCTCTCCCAGGACAAGAGGACCAAGTACTAACAGCAAGTCCCCAGCCAGGCTCTTCACCCTTTGGGGGCCAGCCTGCATGCATGTGTGTGTGTGTGTGTGTGTGTGTGTGTGTGTCAGTGTGTGTCAAAATAAATAAATTATTTATTTATTTTGGTTCCTTTCAATTTGTTTTATGGCCCCAGCGGCTGGCTGCCAGCAAAGCCAGGCTGGCGGCCTTGCTTTGTAATTTTTTTAAGTGCCTCCTCGATAAAGTGATGAGATTAATTCATCAGAATTCCTGTGGTCTCTTGAGGCGGGCCTAGGAGCGTGCAGGAACAGCGACAGGACATTGGCGGCACACACACATGCAGCTGAGGTGTGGAAGTTTTGGGGATGAGTTCTCTCAGGACAGGGACACAGCCAGTGGTTAGTTAGCATAAATTCCAGGTTCTAACCTGGGAATGTATTCAGTATAGACAGGTGCAGACTCCACTTTGGGCACATCACCTAACTTCTCGGAGCCTCAGTTTCCTTATCTGTAAAATGGGTACAGTTCCCAACTCATAAAGTTCTTATCTAAAAAGTTCCCCAGATTCAGGCCAGGCACAGCGGCTCATGCTTGTAA